CAGAGCCCGCCACGGCCGACCCCGCCGCCCTAGCGCGCTCGCCGCCCTGGAGCCGCTCGGGCCCCGCCGCCCAAGCCTCGCGCTTGCCGGCCGCTTGCAACCGAGCCGCCTGCTCGGCCTCAAGCTTTGAGCGGAGGGACGCCTCGAGCTCCAGGCCGTACGCCCCATCACTGGCATCCTCCCGCCGCCGCTTCAAGCCCGACACTGCCTCGCTCGAAGAACCACGGGAGCGATCCATGGCAACCACCGCCGTGAAAGGAAGGGAGAGAGGTAGGACGGGAGGAGATCTGCGGTAGGTGGGGATGCGAAAACGGAAACGGCGTAGGTCAGAGTGAGATGCAGGAAACCCTAGAAATGGGGGGCCGAACCCTTTCGGGCCCATAAGTACCCGGAGCGAGCCAGGCTGGGAGGGGGGAAAGACAGGCCGGCCGAAGCAGAGGAAGGCACATTAGACGCGCAAGGCCCAGGGCCCAGAATGGAGGGGGGAATCAGAAAAAAGACGACAGCGAAGGCGGCCCAACCTGAACAGAAGGCCCAGACAGGCCAACCTGAAACGGAACGGGAGGCCCACAAGCCTTACTCGCAGGAAACGGATCTAGGGTTAGAGGCGGAGGAGAGGCTCCCGCCGGCACCGCCAGCGGCGGCGACACCACCGAGACCGCCATCGACAAGGCCGCTGGAGAGCAGGATGAGCGAGCAGGGCCACCCGCCCGAGAGGAGAGAGCATCAAAACCCGCACAGCCCGGCGAGGAGAGCGGCCCCGAGCGCTTCCGTCGCCGACCGCGCCTCACCTGGAGCCAGCCCGAACCATCCCCCTCGACAGCGATCACCGGACGGCCACGACCGCCCGGGGCAAATTTCCGAACCTTACCAGCCACCGGTGACTCCACCGCCCACGAAGCCACCGGAGGAGGAACCAAAGGGAGGGGGGAGAGTCGACCTCCAGATCGGAATCCCCATCCGCCTCCTCCGACGACAGGGCCCAAAACCGGTTCCTAGTGCCAGATCCTGATGCGCGCGAGCTGAGAGGAGGACCAGGGAACGAGAGAGCCGAAGCGGCGAGGGAGAGAGACGGGGGCGACAAAGGAAGGGGAGCAAGGGCGGCCGGGGCAGGAGGCCGGAGCGAAGGCGGGGAGAGGGAGGAAGGGGAGGGAGGAGAGAAGGAAGGGGGAGAAGCCATCTTTCTTTTCAAGTTGCATCTTTTTCCTGTTTATTTAAGAGTAAACACTAAGAAATGACTTCTAGCCTTGCCTAAAGGAACCATTACCTCATGAAACTTGTGTTGCAGCATGTTTATGACAAAGTTTTTCCCACATGCTAAGATTATGCAATTGCACTCTTAATATTATAGGTTTTAAGCAGGAAGATCGTGAGCCACTAGTGCTTGCTTGGGATAGGATGAAAGAGGCAATAAGAATTGTCCGAAACATGGGATGGAAGAATGATTGATTCTTCATTGGATTTTTATCATTTATGCCACCAGTTATGTCCCACTACTCAGTTTTGCCACTAGATGTTACACTGCTAAAAAATGCAACCGTTTCGTGAGATGCTTGCTCAAAAATGCCATTAGATATCTCAAAAATGTCATCATTCCATTAGGCGTTTGCTCAAAAATGCCATTGGACATCGTCATGGTCAGGTCAAACTCATTGACCATGTTAAACGATGAAAATACCCCTATACCCACATGGCCACATGTCAGTTCTCTCTATCTCACAATGATAAGTGTGGACCCCACTTGTCAGGAGTAAGCAAACGAATAATTTTAGAGAAAAATAAGAACGATGTTAGGATCAAGTGGGACCCACACTTTGTTGTAGTGAGATAGAGGGAGGGCTGACATGTTGTTCTATAGGTATTTTGGTCATTATAACATGGCAAAAGAGATTTGAGCTCACAGTAATGGTGTCCAATGGCAGTTTTAAGCATGCTAACGAAGTGATGGCATTTTTGAGCAGTTGAAATTCTTAGTGGCAAAACTGAGTAGTGATACACAACCAATGACATAAATGATAAAAACCCATATAATGTTCGTATCCCCATGTCCAGAAGTATGCTAGACACTGCTGCAGGAGAAACCATCATGGGAAGACCGATCAAGGAAACAAAAAGGTTGCTCCATGAGATGCAATAAAACCATGCTATTATGAGCTATGAGGTTAACATTTACCTTGATGCAAGAAAACCATGCCATTAGGAGCTATGAGGTTAAGACTTACCTCTTCTTTCCCTTTGAAAGGTCTACTACGAAGAAGATGAACTCCATCTCTGAAGAGAAGAATGAAGCACTAACCGCCAAAAAATCGATGAACTGATTGGCATGATCAAAGGTAAAGAAGAGGTAAATGTTATCCTCATAGCTCATAATAATTACAACCTCAATTTGAGGAACCAAAATTATGCTTCAAATAATTATCCTAAACCACCATAACCAACCAACCAAGGAGCATCAAATAATTATAGGGCAAGCACAGGTAATAGACCTTCGGTTGAAGAGACCCTCGACGCTTTTATGACCGCTCAAACCGAGTAGAGCAAAACCTTTACCAATATCTTAAAGTCTCATGATAACCTACTTGGTCAACTGACCACGAAAATTGTTGGTAACTAATGAAGTGTAGGCACTTCAAGAAAGAACCCGTAATATGGAAGATCGTGCCGCTAAAATAGCGAAGAGCCAAACTGTTAGATCTTGGTCCTTGTCCAGGTCCTAATGTATGGTGTCACAATATTAATGATTCGACGTGCCATTTCTAGCGTAGAATGGTCTGAAGGTGAGCATAAGACCGATAACCGTGAACACATTCAGCATAAAGAACACCAAGTGGTCGCCTGCAAAGGATAATTCACAGCAGGTATCCATGTCAAACGCAAGCTTAATCTTACCAGAAAATCATAACTTTTTTTTTGCGGGGACAGAAAATCATAACTTAACCAAACCTAAATGTCTAGAGTTGAGCAAATGAAGAGATTGCGTTCACAACCATTATCCTTTCACTATGTACCATACTACCATTGATTCGACACTACCAAACTACAGTTTCCCTTTAAACAGAAATGTTAAACATTTACTTCTGTATTTTAATCCTTCGATTTAGAGGATTTCAAGATTTGCATATGACAGGGTGATAGAAAATTTTGTACATGCAGTTAAAACAAAGTCAAGTATAAAATACCTGGAAGAAATGGAGCTATTTGACGCCTCTGAGCCCATGAGAATCTACAAGGAAAAATGCAATTTACATGATAAGGTGGAGAGCATTTTTTGTCCTGAAAATACAGGGGGAAAACAGTCGACTGCATACAAATGTGACACCAAGATGTATACAAACATACGATGATGAGCTATGCTATTGACAATGTTGTCGAGAAGGAAGAACTTGAGAGTAGAAAATAACCAAAAAAACTAACTTCTGTTCAATTTTCCATTGTCAACAAACTGACTCGCAGGAAAAAATACAACTATTTGGGGAACTGAGATAGGTGCTGTTTGCAATAGAAAATATTGGATGAATGCAGAGCAGCTCAAAAGCCGACTCTGGAACTAATCTGGATAACACTGTCAAGTGCTATATTTCGCTTATGTGGTCGCAATAGTATGTAATGAGCTGGAGCATGGATACTTACATAACTCCTGCAACAGCTGGAGCGATAGTTTTAAAGATGGACATTAGTGTCACAGAAAGGCCATTGGCTGAGGCTCTTAGGTCCTGACTCTGTTATGTGTATCCCAAGGTTAGAAAACAAAATGATATTACCAGTTTTCGTAGGAATGGATGGAAGATAGCTATTCATTTGACCCATTGTTAGGAATCTCGTGAACTTACCACAGCATCATTCATTAAAATGTTGAACACAGTCATGGTAGTTACCTGAAATGGTTTTGAGAGCACGAGTAAACTTTTGTACTAGCAATTAATAGTGGCTCCCTTGAGTTGAAATATGTAAGGCTATAAGAGGCACATTCTTAGTGAGCAGTGCAATAAGCAGATTCACAATTGAAGTGTTTGTCAAGATATGATAACTAGCAGCCTGTTGGTATTTGTATTGCTGCTATTCTCTACTAACAAAGAAAGAGTATCGGGAAGCAATACTTGCAGTTATGCTTAGCCAACACTAAGACAAATAGACAAGACTTGAAATATACTTAGTAGAATGCTCAAACTTAAAGATTTGTTTCACACAGAAATTTAAGATCGTTGCACTCACTGAGAAAGAGTTCTTCAGAAAAGACGCACAATTTAGTGCCAACTGAAGAATGGACCCTGATAATGCAGGCATGAATGGATAGCTCGAAAGAAGTGGTATTGTCAATAGCTGCACAATAAGTTTAACCATTAAAATATAACTAAGCTGATCGAACAAGCAATAAATAGTCTTACCGCAATTGCACGGACTAATGTGATGGGGTCTACAGAGTTTGCAACCAATGGATAGATCAAAATTTGATATATTAGGAGTAAGAGACCTGACAAAAAGTACAGTCAGTACACTAAACTTTGCACGTGAAACACAGCAGAGCACAACAACTGAGAAATGACATGCTGAGTTACTAGTGAGTTCCCGTCATCACATATTTGCATATAAATTACTGCTCTAGCATAACTTCTTCAAATTGAGCATATATTTCACTCATGTCAATCTAGATAAAGCTGCATATCTGTGCCACAGACACGACATGTGTTTTATTTATAGGCAAGTTTAGATATATCAAATGTGCCTCATTGATGTGTGAATAGTCATATCACAAGCTTTCCTTGGATCCCTATCTCAGAGTCGCCGGTTTCCCTTAATTAACCGTGCCATGTATGGTTTTTGGGTCCGGTTCCCCTTACTAACTGGACCAACTCTCTCCTTAATGCAATGCGGGAGCTCCCCGCCCTCTGACAAGGTTCCGTCAAAAAAAAGGGACTCACGATGTTCAAAAATAAAAATGTCAGTGAATACTACCTGAGATTGAAAGGACCCTACCCACATCTTGAGAAGAAAAGCTTAGTCCACCGTATTTTCTGTCACTGACAGCCCAAAGCGAAAATACCTGCAATTTACGTCTTCCAGAATGAAATCCAATAATAATAATGGCAATGTAAGTAAAACTATGAGATGCTAAAAAACAACGGAAATATATCTCAGCAACAAAACAGCACATGCTACCTCTGCATAAGCCACGTCCTGGAGAGAGAAAATGCAGTATACAGTGATAGTGGACATCAGTGGCCAGTTTGTGAATAAACTGAGACAGCCACTACCACTTTGTTCAGCATTTAAATCAGAACAAGGTTCTTCAACAGCTTCAGTCGAACTATTTAACATTGTGTCTTCAGTGTGTTTATGCAAAGTTTCCTGCAACATTGCAGACATGTTAAGTACAGGTGAGTTCATGTGCTACGTGTTATGTGGGGCTCCATGTAGAGGCTATATAATGATTTCGGTGTCAAAAAGGATTTCCTTTCACTAATGTTATCAAACTGTTGGTATTGTTTTGCATCTTCAGAAACTTGTAGAAGCATCAATGATCTACTTTCAGATCCTACAAAACTGACTAGTTGCTCTAGCTGTGTTTCAGGTCAAGATGCACAATACATATTGCTACATAGAACAGATGTGCTATCACTACCGTAGTATAATATCACAGTTTATCAGCACGTTTTCTACAATGGAAGATTTACTCTCCATCATGACAAACAAATGTTCGTCAGAACATAAGATTACAGCCACCATTAAAATCCAGTATGATTCCTCAAAAAAGAAAAACTAGTACTATCATTTACGACCTACAGGGAGCATGCAGCTCCAGTAAATATTAATTGAGAAAGATGTTTATTTTTATCCCAACATGATGTTTGCTTCAATACAAATGAAACATTAATTGTATGCATCTAGGAACAACAAACTCACCGGAAGCCAGAAGCAAGCAATTACAGCGGCAATGGCAAGGAGTGATATACAAAGACAAGGGAGAAAGTACGGAAACCTAAAACAATGCATGTTTAAACTGAATTAGCATCTGAGAAGAAAGCGATATCAAAAGGACGCATAAAGCAAAGAAACAAAATATATAAGAAGGATTCACAAGTAAATGCTTGCCTTCCAAATATGGAGTTGACAGAGAATATGCCTGGATATTTATCTGCAGGCTGCAGTTCACAAGCAAAATTAGCTTACAAGGCTTCTAACCATTTTTAATCATGATTGTATGTCGACATAAGAAATTCGAATCAATCAAAATAACTACTTTTAGTGCATGCTTGCACATAGCGTAGCAATACAATGAAAAATATAATCAACCTTTAGCAGAATTTGTATAAATGGGGGAATACTTTGCCATATGTTGGTTATCATGGGTGAACCACTGATGGATATCAGAGTGAACCCAACTCTGTACATAGCAGGTAAATGAATTATATGAGGATAGTTAGAGCCTTGGCTCAGTGGTTGGGTATGCGGTTGTGCAGCCCAACGACCCGAGTTCAATTCCCGGAATTGACAGGTGATGCACAGGGGTTTTTCCCCGTTTATTGAGGATCAAGCTTAGTGTATGGTGCAACCACTCATCAAGAAATATCTTGATACTCATTTAAAAAATTATGAGGACCATGTTTATCTTGGTACTCATACTAAAATGGCCGTATGCATCCTAAGTTGGTGCAGAGGCCGGGAAGTGAAAATCTCCCCATTTTAAATTGGTTAGACAAGGAATTGGTCTGCCTAGTGACTACTGGTTCGGACTCCCGACTCCAACTCCCGACCCCGACTCCTCCTCCCAACCCCGTGCGGCCGCCGCCGGGCCGCACCGGGCGGCCACATCCCGATCTCCCCTCGACTCCCCGTGCACCCCCTCCCTCCGCTGCCGCCGGCAACGTCGCTGGGCGAAGGCCCCGTGGCGCGGCGGCGGCGGACCTCCTTTGGCGTCCCGAGATCTGAGGCGGCGGCGGCCTGATTTGGATCTCTCTCCCGACGAGGATGGCGGGCAGCGGCGGCCGGGGCGTGACGGGGGGTTTGACTGCAGCCGGCGGGAGTAGTACGAGATGGCGACAGCGGCGGCCGGGGCGCGTCCCGAGCTGCCGTTACGTCCTCAAACTGCTGCATCTCATCGGATTCGGCGACGGCTCGCTGAAGCACTCCGGGTCTGCATCGCATCACGAGGATTATGGCGGTGGTGGTCATCTCCTACGTCGGAGGTGGTCGACCAGAGACTGGATGATCGGATCTCGAGATCTGTAATCTAGTCCCGGCTGCGAGTCGGGGAAACATAGTTGCCGGTGAAAACCGAGCCGGTGGCGGACGATGGCGGCGTTCTGCGCCGTTACCTTGATGAAGGCATCGTTCTGTAACTACTGTCGACCCATTCGTGCTGCTCCGGGGGAAACCCTATGATCTGGTTTTCCAGATCGGACGATGGCGGCATTGCGGTGTCGTTTCTCTCTTGGGAGCATTGTTTGTGGAGCAGCGCTGGAAGTCAGAGGCAGGAGGTGGAGCGGCTTCGTCTTGCACGGAGGTTCGGTAGAGATGTCAAGTCATGCCTGACCGACAGGTGCTACGCTTTGTCATGCCTGGTCGGCAGGTGCTACGCACGATAGATCTTCCAAGGACTTCAAGCTGTGTCGACTGGTGGTACTTGGCAGCATGGCGCTGAGGTGTATCAGTGGCGACCGCGACGTGCTCAGTTGTTTGCGCGCAGGGAGGAGGTGCCGTTGGGCGCCGTGGTGGCGTCGACTGGTGGCGTCGACGATAGCTAGACCGAGCAAGATTGATGCATTAGTACAGTTCTGAAGATGGAGCGGTGGCAGTTGGCGGCGGCGGCCTCTGAGAGCACGCCGGACCAGTGTGTGCCCCAGACCCGGCAAGTGGCTAGGTTGGGGTCTCAGGTCTTAGATGTTAGGCTTGGCTGCGATGTCTGTTTGGTATTAGGCCCATGCTATCTGCGCCCCTTCATCAACTGGATAGGTGTAGCGACAGTCTGTTGCTTAGACGGTGGCTTTAGTCTTACTGTTGTATCACTTTGCAAGGTCTTGTGAGAATAATTAATAAAGTGGCCGTATGCATCGCCCAGATGCAGAGGCCGGGGGTCATCCTCCTTTTCTAAAAAATGAGGATAGTTAGAGAAGGGACAATCAGGAAATACTTGATAAGGTATATAATTTTTAAATTTGCATGTGAGTTCAAAAACCTCATGATCAGAAGTAATGGAACATCATAGATCAAACATACTTAGATGATAATATAATACGTACATAAGTAAGTATTCTGCAAATATTAAATGGACTGTATTGTGAGTTCAAAAATTTCATGATCAGAAGTAATGGAACATCATAGATCAAACATACTTAGATGATAATATAATACATAAGTAAGTATTCTGCAAATATTAAATGGACCGTATTACCTGTGCAAGATAACCACCAATGGCTGGTCCAACAATAAGACCTATGCCACGTGAGGAGGACATCTGATGGATTACCCAGCACATAGAAATATGTGAGTTTGTATCATGGTCCAATAAAGTTGGGACTGTGAGTAAAAGAAGAATTCGAAATAACAACTTGATCATCTTACGAGTGATAATGCCAAGTGACTGTGTCTTTCCGACATACTTCTGAAGCATAAGCCTGAAGGCACAAATGAGTCGAACACAATGTAATCCAGTCATATATTTTACTTTTTTACCCTAATAATCATCACCATCTCACTCATGACTTCTAGCTTGTGAATTCATTTTGTTTTATTGGCGTCATAGTGGGCAGTTATACTATTTTGGATAATGCAAACATAGTGCACCATGCCAACACTAGCTGGTTGGCTGAAATTTATCTGGTGTGCAACCATCCCAGTTACAAAGACCTCGATTACTAATACAAAACAAACTTCATCCAAAACAAGCTAACAAGCTAACCACAGTGTGCATCACGAACAACTGAATCTGTGGAACTTCGTTCTCTTGTGGAAGAACACCACAAAATTAAGTCTACTGAAATAAGAGTAGGAACCGGTGTTATCTTAGCAGTTGGTCAAGAAAGTGTTGATATATGAATTCAAATTGAAAGTAAAGAGGCCAGAGTCTACCGGAACAGAGGCCAGCAGGTAATATGAAGGTATGCAAGATAAGCATTCATGATAATCATGCTGATATGATGACGAGCCAGTTCCTATTACTAAGTTTGAGCTCTGCTCATGCTTAATTGATGTTATGTCCAAGAGACTTTCGGCACATGATGGATATTTAATTGCTGAACGAGTTTAAAATTATTGTTATGGGTTCTTCATAGCGGATTGGATTTCCGCTTTGACTTGAGCTGCATGGCCGCCACCTACGTACACCTGTTGTAAGCCGCACGGGATGTGTGTGTTGACGACTCCTTGTTAGTCTGGTGGTTGTAACACTCTCGATATAGGTGAGCACTGCCGCGCATCTGCGGTTTCCGCAAGGGTTTTCCACATAAAAATTCAGCATCTCGAGTTGATCTACTTTTTTTATGTGCCTGTTGAATTCTAACACAAAGCTACAAAAACACGATGGACGGTTCTAGTACCTGAGAGAAAAGCACTCCCATGCACATGTAAGTACCTTCATTGGTCCAAGCATACCAGACAACAGCCCAAGCAGACCTCTTGTGGTTAATGCCATCCAGTAACTAGAGCTGAGTCCAAAGAGTGTATTGAAGATAATTCTGAAATGGATGAGAAGAACTGCTTAAATTTTGGTGCGTCTGTCAAAATACACCAAAGAAAGACTCATATCTGAGAGCGCAGCTTGTTAAAGTATATCCTTACACTGAAAAAAGGGTAATTAGAAGAACTGGTTTCCTCCCATACTTATCAGCCACAACTCCCCATATTACAGAGGTGAGTGCTCTCCCAAGCATATATGAAGCACCTTCATTTGTAGAACAGATATTATAAGTTTACCATGATAGATAAAGCTGAAGCATACCCCTCATATAACAATATCCTTACAGAGCTCAGTTAAAGTGTTTCAGAAGATTGATACAAAAGAGAAACTACATTTAAAAGAAAACGTACCAACAAAACCAGCATAAAATCCAATATCTTCTTCTTCTTTAGCAATGTTCAGGTCTCTTATCTGCAAACGAATATGCAGTTTTGACAATCGATAGTAGATTTACAAAAAATAGTTGGCATTACCAATACTCATGTTGTTGAGTAGTGAAAGAAAAGAAAACAATAGAAAACAACAAAACTGTGAGAAGAGCAAAGCTTTATTTCCACCACATGTTATAATCTTATTTTTATTTTGAACCAAAAATGTCATAATCTGATGCAAAGCTTGTATCATTATCATGGTTCAAAATATATATAGAACATGGAAATTGTTGATCCTACTTATAAATCTTCTCCTGTTATGATGAAGAAATGTGCAGTCATATTGCACGTTCTAAAAAGATTGTGATCCTGTTGCTCACCATAAAATACAAGAAGGGAAACACGTACTGTATAGGCAACGCTGCAAAATGCAAATATGAGAATATCAATTCCTGATCAATAATGAAGGGATGATTTGCTTAAGACATAATCAATAACATCTTAAATCAGTAATATCTTTAAATGGGCATGAGAGTAACAAAAGATTCCACCCAAGTCTCAAGTAAAAAAAATAGTAGATCAACCTGGTTGCCTTCTCTCTAGGTTTTGTTTAGTCAAAAGTTAGCCATTGTCATACAAGGCCCATTTGTTTACTTGGTCCTTCGGTGGCTAAGGGGGTGGACGCACATCCGAAGGCAGGGAAAACTCAACCCTATGTCGTACAAGGCCCATGACTCAAGTGGAGGTGGCAGGAGCACCTTATGACTCAACTTCTGTGACAAACTCGGGCTGTTTCGGCGATTTCTTGCACTCGGAATGAATTTGGAGGAGTGGATCCTACTGCTGGAAAGTCACTAGATAAGCTTTCAAAAAATAACAATATCGCCCAATTGGGAGTTCGAGTGAGAAAATTCTCAGTTGTGTCTGTCTCAGTAGTCAGAATCTGAGTCGAGGACATGGGGGGCTTGATTTCTAGCATCTCTCAGGCCAAAAGTGACGTGAGAGAACTTATTGTACAATACCTAATCATGTCCCTTTGCTTGACCATCATTTCTTGACCAAATGTGGAGAAAGTAGTCACAGTTGTGGTTGTATCCATGTATCCATGGTAGTGATGTCATCATGGGCTTGGTGACTCTCTAGGTCATGCATGGTCAGGTGGTGACGATGCGGCAGCATGGCATAGGTGCTCTCATCTGCATGCATGTCGATGGCGTACCCACGACTTCATCTGGATCGGTGGATTATGTGCAGTTCATGGCGTCGCCACCTCTGTTCTACTATGTTGAACTTCATCAGTTCGGACTTTTGGATGAACCGGGAGCATGAATTCAATATGATATCGGAGCGAAGAGGTCTCAAGTTCAAGACCCGACCAACGCGCTGTTAAATAAAAATAGTTGCGGCCTACATCGATCCCACGCATAAGCTCTGGAGGAGCCGACGTGAGGGTGGTTGTTCAATTTATTTTTTTGACTCGTGTGTTCAATTATATTGCATGTCCTTCTCCATCAGTTTGGACTTTTTAAAATAGTGATGACTTACATCGTTCCCACATCTAAGGCCTGAAGGAACCTAGACGTGAGGGGGGTGTTGAAATATATTGCCCGTCCTTCTCCATCAAATCAGACTTTTGGATGAACTGACTAGAGCATGAATTCAATAAGCTATGAGTGAAGATCATCCCATGAAGCGAAGGACTACCAATCGAGCCTGGTCTTTGATTTGGACCTGTGTTCGTGCATCGGCACTAGGAGTTTCGGTGGTGGCCTGCTTTTGTGACTAACTCTAGAGGATACCACGGAGTTTGTGCCATGTACTAGATGGCGTAACTCTTGGGCGATCCATCATCAAGATGGTGAATGAAACAATGATTCATATACTGGGATGAAACTCTATGATCTGGCCTTTGTTGGTCAGACCCAGCAACGACGGAATTGCGTCCTTGCCTGGTTGAAAGTGTTGTCTGTGTGCCATTGTTTTGCCTTTGGTTGGTTGGGCCCAGTATCCAGGATGGAAATCATTCTTCTAGCCAACTCAGGCTGGACGTGGCGACATCAGCATGGGCACATTCTCCCTTCTCGAAGGCGCTGCCGCAGAAGGAGGTGAATTCATGTGTGTGTCGTTTTATTTCTGTTCTCAGGGCTTGTTGAGCTGTGCCCTCAGCATTAACCCTTTTGGATCCTGTGTGTTTTAGACCTTTGTGTGTGTGCGTGTGTGTTTGAACCTCTGTGGATTGTTGGCTTGGGCATTTGCTTTATAATATAAAGCGGGGCGAAAGCCTTTTTCGGTAAGGAGGTGAATTCATCGTTGGTGTTCTTTCAGTCAATGGTTCTACCATTGTTGTTCGACTTTGGCCTCGTTGACTTGCATCAACTTTAATAATATCGTGGTTGTATGCCGCGGATGCAGAGGGCAGGACTAACAGGAGGTTTAACCATTTTCTCAAACAAAATCCAAAAACTGTTTTAAAATACTCCAAGAAACAAACGCAGAGAGACAGCTGGGAGAAAGAGTGCGTTATTAGTGTCCCGCGTGCAATTTTGGGCAGACTTTGATCGCGGAATCCGAAGCTTGTAGGTGAAATCCGAGAGGAATATACAAACATCCGGATAGCCAAGAAAAAGCATTGGGTAAGCACGGACTGACGAAGGCAAGTTTGATCGGAACTCAAGAGCAAGTGGAAGTGAACAGAGCGAGACCTGCATTCTTCAGGCAAACCTGCCCGCGTGCTTCAGCCAAAAAAAAGCTAAATAGAGGGAGAACGACGAGAGCAACAACTAACACGTTCGATATCAGAAGTTGAGAACTACGATTCACACTCTGGCTGGACAAATGAGCCACGGTGAACGCAAGAATTAAACAACATACTCCAGCTGATTAAAACGTTTCCAGCGAGCGAAAGGGGACAGAAAATAACGGTGTCAAAAATGATCTTTTTCCCCGGATCGTAGCATTAAGTATTTCTTGGCAAGCTATAAGATGGTCAGATTTGACATTTTAGTAACTCCCTTCGTCCCAAAGTTATTGTCTTAGATTTGTCTAGATACGAATAAAACGCAACTAGATATATTCATATTTAGACAAATCTGAGACAAAAATTTTGGGACGGAGGGACAAATATAAGAGCAAGATTAGATATCCAGCAGTAGTACTCCCTCCGTCCGGAAATACTTGTCGTAGAAATGCATAAAAATGGATGTTCTAGAACCAAAATACATCTAGATACATCCATTTTCCCGACAAGTATTTCCGGACGGAGTGAGTAGTTCTTAGACAAAACAGGAATCAGCCGAGGTAAAGAAAAACAAGGGACGTGAAGGAACGGGAAGGGGCGGCGATCACGCACAGGAGCAGATGGTGACGAGCCACATGCAGCAGAGCTCCGTGACGGGGAGCCCCTCCCTCTCCTCCTTCCTCCTGTCCACCCTGCACCCGGGGCAGTTGGGTCGGCACCGCGCCCTCTTCAGCAGCGGCTCGGCGGCCGCCCCGCCACCGCCGCCTCGGGCATCATCGCCCATCCCCTCGCCCGTCAGTCCGCCCGCCCGCCC